AAAAAAAAATATACGTCGCTTACCGTTACAAAGGACGGCTCAACTTTGTTTGCGCTGGAGGTAGACGAATAGTGTGAAGTCTGTGGTGATTCAGTTCAGAAAGGTCAGAGAATTGGAATGAGAAAAGACGAGGTAGTTATTTTACAACCCTCCGGAGAATCTTTGTGCATCGCTCATTTTAACACCTACTGACCTGCGCCCTTCCTCGTTATCGGTTGGGCTTCGATTACGCAGAATATGATATCAATAACGTCGTTCAAGACAGTGTGATCCGACCTGTTGACGCTACTATCACCCATACCTTGTTTGGGAGTATCTATATCTCGCCGCCATTATCAAATTTGGCGATAATTGCGAGCACCAATACCTGAAAGCTAAAACAGACCATGTAACCAAGCCCTAGGAACACTTCGAACTCCTTTGATGTGGCAAGCCCGGACAACTATTCGTTTTCAAATCCCACCCATCATTGCTCGGGCATCCTCCTTACATCGTTTGTCAATGCTCTCCGAGAACTTGTCCAGCGGGCTAAGCGCCCCTTGCCCGACAAACTTGACATGCGCGACAGCCTCCGGAATCAGGATATGAAAAGACACGGTGTCATAACGTAGGATGATTCCCGCGTAGTATTTTTCCTTAAAGAAGGCGCTGTGTATGCGTAGGCCTGTGTATGCTTCAATTTGTTTTGTCATCCGATCTGACCAAAGATTGTCCTTATCTCTGTTTCCCGGATCAGCCATCCATCCTTCTAATCCCGTACGGCAAACACGATTCCAAGGGTCAAAAGGCCTCCATTCAACATCAAAGTAAATCCGAGCGTAAGGGGACCCCGGAAAGGCCGAGACAAACGAGGGATTAAACAGCCCAGTGCGTAAGCCCATCAAGGGCCCTTTATTTATCCAATCGGAGATCAATTCAGATGTTGTGTTCCGAGCTTCGCCGAGTTGCCTCTTCGTTCTCTCCGAGGCCTCCGCTAAACAGAAGACCCCAACGTTATTCAACCAATTTAGCCGCCCATCGCGACTAATAAGCTGGTCGAAGGTGCGGTTCGTTTCTTCCATCACTTTCCTGCGCTGTTCGGTCCCAACCACGCCCGGGCCTTTTTCCGATGGTTCGTTGTGATCCAGTCTCAAGGCGCTCAAACTTGCCTCTTGGATGAATCGGTTGCCGTCAAGTGGTAGTCCATGGCCTATAGCAGCATGAAGATGAAGACACCCAGGCGAATAAATGTCAATTTCCTGATACTGCCAAGACTTTTGTGGAGAGCCTTCGTACGTGGCAATGTTCCCTAAGGCGTCTTTGCATTGCATTTTTGGTGGATGGCAGGGGCCCAAACAGCACGATAACACCAAGGCCAATGATTCCATGGTTGTCGAAGAGCAACAGTAGAAGCGGAATATCAGCGTGGGACTTCCTTTGGAGCAGACTCCTTGCTGGTGGGATTGGGACTGAAGTTCCATTGTCCACTCTTCCCTGTATAGACGTGTGGTCTGAAAACGCCTTCCATCTTCAGTTATATCAGTTACCGAATCCCGCTTAACGGTTCCAGGAGTTACTGAGTCCCAGCAACTCAAGTGCGCGATCGCCTCCCCCTCCACGAAGGCGGGAATAGTAGTCTTTTTGTCCACACAGATTGCTGAAACCGTGGAGAACTTTTCCCTGTACCGGGCGACGGACAGACGCAAAGCGATTTCTCCGGCGGTGAAAGACATGGCGCTTCTAGGTTCTGAGAGTTACTGAATCGAAAGATATCCGGACCTGATGTCGAAAGTCAAGTTAAAGGAAATAGAAAAGTTTCGCTCTCGAAAGGGCATTGATAAAACTCAACGCCTCTCTCTTCTTCTATTAGAAGATAAACTGGTCGAACTGCGGCGGCTGGGGGTAGAACGCGGCTAGGTAATTTTCCTTTGGCGACTTAGGCTCATAAAGGGGATGAGATCAGTCGCGGTAGGCTGTCTCTTGCAATCTGGAACATGACCGAACCCAAATGCCGGGGATCCTGGGCGCCACTTCCTGTCTCCCAGCACTTGGAGCCATAACAATCAAACTAGGTGTCAAAGCTTTGCGGTTAATCTTATTAGATTGACACTGATCAAGCCTGTGTTGTGGGAACGTGCGTGCAATGGCCCTGATAACGGAAGTTAATACTGCTGTACCTAGGCGGACGTGGGAGACGCCCGGTGACCACAAAAAAGGAGTTGCAAATGCTCAAATAAAAAGGCCCGCAAGTGGAGTCAAAGCCAAACCTCGATCCAGAGTTGCTCTGGTCTTGTCTGTCGGCGAGTTAGTGATAGGGAGCGATAATGCCTCCTACCACCGTCCTCACCGTTACGAGACCATGCATCAGAGAACAGGGCATTACGAATACCTCAGCTGTTTGGCCTCATGGCTGAGTCTTACCTGCCGTGTTGGTAGACAAACTGCTCCTATGCTGGGTCTCACACAGAGAAGATGTAACCCACTGGAGTGAGTCGCCAACCACCACCCCCTTCCCCCCCCTTTTTTTTT